AATATATTAAATTTTTAAATTTAAATACATAAATTAAGAGTTTAACAAGGCTCTGTAATATAAATATAAATTTAAAGTATAAGACAGGCAATAAGAGCCAAATCGCGGATGACAGTGCGTTATCTCAATGAAACTAAATTTTTCGTTAGAATTAAATACCTGTGCACAAGGCACCAAATTTTACTTGGTCACGGCTAAGATTTAAAATTGGAATAATCTCTACAAGAGATTTAATTCCATACATCCCTTGTTCCCCCTAAGGAAATAAATGCGAGAGAAAAATATAGATCCGAAAGTCGCTGAATCGGGAACTTAGAGGGGAACAGGGGATATATGGAATTAAATTTCTTGTAAAGATTATTCCAATTTTAAATCTTGGCCGTGACCAAGTAAAATTTGGTGCCTTGTGCACAAGTATTTAATTCTAACAAAAAAATTTAGTTTCGTTAGGATAACGCACTGTCATCCGCGATTTGGCTCTTATTGCCTGTCTTACACTTTAAATTTATATTTAAATACATAAATTTAAATACATTTTATAATTTTAAACTTTTTTAAATGTACTAGGAACTATTTTAAATGTACATAATTCTTCGACATATAGTGACCTAAGTAGTAAATTTTCGGCATGGTTAAGAAGAGCTGGAGACAGATTTCGTTATCACTTAAAACTAGGACACGAAACATGATTATTTCACAATTTATATTTAATATCCTAATATTAATTTTTAATCGTTTCCATCTTTAATTTTAATCGTTTCCATCTAATTTTTATCGTTTTCATCTTAATATTCTAATTTTTAATATTGTATTATTCTTAATAGTATCTTATATGGAGTTATGCTTTACGGAACCAATCGTAAATTTTTTCGATTTCAAGATTTTTATTAAAAATTGTGCCTGAATGTATCAGGCACAATTTGCAATAGAAATTTCGACATAAAAAATATTGATTCCATATTTCATAACTGCATCCATATAATTTTAATATTTAATCTTTTATTATATTACTCTGCTACTATATGCTATACTTTATATTTTATTTTATTACGCTGTTTTGTTTGGCAATAATACAAATGTATGCATATTAGTATAAAAGATAATTTTAAAAATTAAAAATTTATTATATAATAGAATATAATGTTATGTAATAAAAAATATAATAAACATGTTTCTTTTATATATATAAATTGTTGTCTTATATAAACAAAATTAATCTTCTAATTTTTAATTAAAATAATTTTTATAAAATAAAGTTAACAAAAACATATTCAAGATATAGTTTTAAAAGACGACTATAAGATGTCTACAATTAGATATCTTTTAAAGACGATTATAAGATGTCTAAAATTAGATGTCTTTTAGATATCTTATGTTAAGGCTGTAAGATGACTT